GTTTTAGTTTCATCCGTTATATCATAATCATTCAGTGTGCATTGTAAAGATAAATGCTAGAAGTGCTGTGAGAAGTAAGGGTCGCATACATTGTGTATAATAATAAACTGATTTGTATAATATCTGGCACATTTTTGTTTGTGCCCTTCAACATTTCATGTCATAAGTATATAGCCTTTCATGTTTCAGCGACCGCCATGTTCGATTCCCCGCGAATGGTTTATCAACATTGAGTGAATGCTGCATAACGCCGCAGTCAACAATATTACAAATATATCTATGTTGGCTGTAAAAATCGAGTCTGGATCAGGCACACCAGTGACTAAGCGTAAGTAACTACCCACGCCATCGGGCATGATGATACACGGAGCCTGACCACCCCATCCTCATTTTGGTAGGCTCGTACGACAAACGTGGGTCACTGGGGACCTATTGTAACCCCCAAAGGTACATCATCGTCATTCTTGTGATGATTCCCATCTAAATAAGACCCGTGAATTCGGGGTAGAATAGGTCTTTAGCAACCCATGCTTGCTGTAAAAGGCGACTTTGCTTGGGGTAAGAGGCGACTAACTGGATCGGGTGGTCAGGCTCGTTGACTTGGTTGATGCATGTCATCTTATCCCAATTTCATGGATCGATGCTCATGATGTCAATCACTGGATTGTCTGGTCCAGACTCGATTATTTACAGACCGCCGTCATATACCTGGAATATTGCTCAGTGCGGCGTAAAACAACAAACAAACAAACAAAATGTTTATAATGGATCATACCATTCCTGGTTCTTTTTAACCAATGAACCCCATCCCTTATCTCATCAATAACCATTCGGGTCAACTCGACACATTTCATTATTTACAAAACACCTCGGATAGCGATGGCGTAGTGATATTGCACTGTAAACCGCACACCGACCGATCGATCCGCATATAGTTCTCATACATGTATGTTGTACAACATAATGACCGATGTTAATTTGACAAATGTATGCTTAATAGAAATATGGTATACAATCTGATATCGAGCAATATTTATATAAGGATCGCGACTCTCGCCAGATTGTGTTGTGTAATAATCACGTAAACTAGTGAAACTAGTAACGTCATTTCCAATATATATTCCTCCCTGGGTTGGCCGAGATTACCTGAAGATTGAGGTGAGCCGAGTCATCAGTCGGAGGTCTAAAGATAACAGGGATGAGTAGATGAATCTTTCGATCATGGACATTACAAATACCCGCGTAATTTAAGACAACGAAACCTAAGACAATTCCTATTTACACAGTACATAATTATTCAATTAAAATATATAAAACTTCACATTTATATAAATAAATAATTGTTAACTTATTCTGTAAATATCATTTTTCTTGATGAATAAACAGAAAGCACCCGTCATCGCAAGCCATTTCTGTAGCTTGTGAGAGAGCGAGTTGGGTTTAACGCCGCAATTAATACAGTACCATTTGTATCTTGGCGTGTCAGTTTGATGTGTTTAAAGAGAAGCCCGTACTTTTTATAGCAACAGGTATAAATACTAGATCTACCCTCCAAGGACAGAAAACAGCACACACGCATGTAGGTGAAAGGTGACACGCGAATACATTATAAATGATCTCTTTGTTAAACAAATATAACCCAATCTCCTTGCTCAAGTACAACCTGCAAAATTCATCGATTTTTATCGATTTGATACCATCCACGATCTGATCATTTTCTCTTTGGTCTGCTAGTTCTGCCTGAGAGGTTGTTGCGAAATATGTCCACCCAAGCGGCCACGGCACGCGAAGTTCTTGAACAGGTTTTTTGTTATCAGTAGAAAAATCAATCATAGCATGGTACTACCTGTTTCTGCCTGGAACACTGGGCCATATAGTCGAGTGTGAGAAGATCATTATATCCAACAGTTCCCACGAAGTGTGAACACAAGCTTCGTAGATTCCACTGTTCTATTTTCATGTCTAGAGTTATAAAAGAAATAATACATTACCTTAGATTTTTAATGCAAAAATTTCATATCGATGTTATGTTCATATGTGATATGGTTTATGCGAGCTATGGGCAATAAGATGTATGCATTTATTTCAGCATAATCGAATATTGTTTCGCACTTTGGCTTCATTATATCCGTTTTGGAGTTTGTAACTGTAAATTATGAATGTAATTGTTAATTAAGTGATTATATAGATTATTGGACCCAACTTCATCCAATACATGCGAAGCCTCCATTCATGTTTCGACAGTGATGGAGTTTTGACTTAAAGGGGAAGTGTACACGCAAAAAACCCTTTCTAAACAAAACGCAATTTTAGAATAAGTTAGTATCTGTGTTTGAAAATATAAACTCATTTTTTTCACAGTGAAAGTAGGAAGCTCCCAATAGTGTGAAAATGATATGCCGTTATGAGGCCTTCGTTTTTCGAGCTAAACAGGCCTGAGTTATCCCCCTTAGATTATGACGTAATTGGTGCCAATTCAACTTGGTCCCTGTCTATTCTCAACGCAAAAGATATCAAGTACCAGTTTGCGGTAAAACAACATGGCCTACGACACATTCCGGCGCAGTGGTGACTCAGCATAACACTATGCCCGCTGGCTTCTGAGACGCTAGAATCACACACCACGCGAAGCGGCTCTAACAAAGCATGATGACGTCATAGTGTTTATCAATTGGCACCAATGACGTCATATTGCAAGGGGCATAAGCCATGGAGTTTTTGTTATGGAAATAGAACACTTGGTAAATGTGAAAAATATAAATCGTTTTAATGCAAAAATTATGTTAATTAATTGTGATATTTTTAAATTTTTGTCTATGACACTACTAGGTTTACACTTTTAATGTGGAAAAAGTACAAGAAAAATAGGTTCATTTCCATGTGAACTTGCCCTTTAAAGCTCAAATTACAAAAGTCTCACAAAATAGTACGTACACGTTACTCCTTGGCGTTTTAACATTTCTTTCCCATAGATTGTATCATTAGAACGTTTGAAGCGTAATTCATAGTGCAAACACGCAGTCAACAAGTAGAGAAAATACACGCTCTTTCTTCTTTATTGCTCAACACAAACCTTAAGTGGCCCATTTGAACAAGGAAAGCTACCTATAGCCCCTATAATGACAATAAGATATGGAGTAGACATTACTACCTATTGGTGATCGACACTGTTATAATGCACAAGATGGCCGATTTTACTTTGACAAAATTATGCTTTTATAGATTCTATAAAGCATAATTTTGTCAAAGTAATCTGAATGTTTTGGTAATTATACAGACTGACATCGAGGAACATCACCGCTATGGCCAGATTGTGTTGTGTAACGCACCCAACACCTATAAAAAAACAGCTGTATCAGCCTTGGTCAATAATACCTTCGTGTCATGCCCAATAATGACACCTTATCTGCTGGAATAGCAAAAATATCAACAATATTTTCTGAAATTCTAGAACCTTATGTATCGGCATTGTCTATGGCTCAATGCGCGGACCTGTGTTGAAAACCCAACGGCGTTAAAACGTGAAAACTATTCATAAGATCAAATTGATAGCCCTTACGACGTAAATGCCAATCAAATAGGCTCTTTGTTTGATATCCATTGCATACATACTATTGTTATTTTCATTGTCCGACGATGAATGGAGTGTAATTACTTCATGTATGAAGCACGATAACATTTTGTTGTTTGTACGTCATTTAGGAGACCTGGTTCACAAATTGATCTTAGAGTTGCGACTGTCGTTAATTCCTATACACAGACTTACGGCTGTCGTAAAACTACAATAGCTTTGAGAACGTAGTCCTGTAAGAGCGCAGTGGGTCGTCACGGTCTTGCGCAGTGTGACGTTCTGAATCTGACAACAGGTGAAGGTCATACTTGTTCTATCTTCCGATATGGCTGCCCAATTACTTAAACCAGTTCACCAACTTCATCACGCAAGTAGCTTGATTTTGAAAGCAGCTCCTATAAATAATGAATTCCACAATACAGTCAATCATCGGTATCCGACCACTTCCTTGTCGAGACTAGACGAACATCTAGACTAACATCTAGACTAACATCTAGACTAACATCTAGACTTACATCTAGTCTCTGAAATGAGCATAATTTACAGAAAAAAACCACTTCACTTGTTAAATTTGCATCAAACAGAATGAAGAGGGACCAAGAGACTTCCTACATCTTCCTGAAACTACAGTCATCCAGTCTTGACAAACATTATAGACTTGCACAGGCTGTATTGGATATATTTGTTTGAGGGTCTGTAAGATAGACTATTGTCGAGACGTGAGAGGTTGTGTGACATGATCAAACGCCAGTCGACATTGTCTTAATGCGACTCGTATCCCGCCTTTTAGCTGTTAAATCATTTCTAAATGACACAAACATATGATTATATCACAAGTAACTTTCGGATGATGGGAAAACGCTCCATCTATGTTGGAGTAGCAAGCCGAGTCATCAATATTGTATATATATTCATGACACCCTGTAAATAATCCTAAAACAACACGCATCTGGGTCAAATTATCCACTCCGTCCCGGAATGTTGTTTGTTTGTTGTTTAACGCATCACTCAGCAATGCCCAAGCTATATATCTGTAAATAATCGTGTCAGGGCAAGACAATCCAGTGATTAACACCATGAGCATCGATCTACGCAATTTGGATACGGTGACATACATCAACGATGACATGCGGCCACGGACCCTGGCCACCCGATCCCGTTAGTCGCCTCTTACGACATGCATGGGTGTTTGTAGACCAATTCTGACCCGGATCGTCACGGGTGCCCTGGGGTGATGAAGTAAGCCAGAATCTGAAGTGATATCAAGAACAACCAGCTGGCATAATAAGCAAGGGGTTATACACGATACTGAGAAACAATGGCCGACGGCGTTGTTCATTAAGCTGGCGTTGATAGACAAGGACAATCAGTCAGATCACATGTCCCTTGTTCGCATTTCCTACGGGTATTGATTATCTGCGCTTTATCAAAATGGAACTAATGAGGCTTTATTTCCATGGAAACTGACGCTGCAGCGTCGCTATGGTAACATGATATAAACACTGTTGTAATGACAGGTAGCGTACTCCCAAAAGCCGTATTTTCTCTACTAAATATGCCACTTTTACTAAATGTTTGGATCATATGAGAGTTTACATCATTACATGCTAGACTTTTATGATACAAAATCTATTTCGTGAGCACCGACAATGACTAGCACTATATCGATATCTAATATCTCAATATACAAGGATGAGGCACTTGCACACAAAGCAACACGTCACCGCACCGCACAACATGTTTAAGCTTGACGCATCCACGAATACAAGTCACGGATGAAAATGTATTTCGAACACGAAACTGTGAACCTTGATAATCCGAACAGCAGCTTTCCAAATGAAGTCGTCCATATTAAGCAATGTCTGAATTAACGAACCATGGTGACGGAGTAATGTCGCTTATGCGTTCCCAGCAGTAATCGTCCGGGAGATGAAGTTTCCGGATTAACGAGGTTACACGGTATCATTATAATTATTTTCTCTTTATGATCGGCAAGTTGTGTTGTTGTTATTTCATTTTTTTAACCGTTCCATGATTCAGCAACTCTTTCGATTAAATCCGCCGAAAAACGTCTTGCAGAGGTATCCATAACAAGGGGTTTACTTTCGTCTTTCTGGCCTTGATACTGATAAAGTAAACCCTCCTGTGCATCCATGGTGATGGACGTATAGCCGTCCTTGAACTTATTGACGTTATTAACTATCCCAAGGGAAACAACTCTGTTTGGAATAACAATGAATTTAGATCTCATCTTCACGTTCCACACTTTGGATTCTCGCCAAGGATTAGACAAGACATAGAGTTTATACTTTTTAACTAAAGGAATATCATATTCTTCGAGTCCTTCTAAATCTTTAGCATCAGCCAAAGGAAAGAAACTCTTTCGAAAGATAATGGCAGCCACTTTATGTTGGTTTTTTAATTTAGCTTCGATAAGGTCTTTCCAGGATTTATGTTTTAGAGGCATAAATACTTCATTGATGTCTTGAAAAAGTATGTAATCGGATGTGGCTTTGTTCCGAAAAAGGCAGTCCTGTATGGCGGCTATTTGGGCATAGCCGTGAACATCATCAATAGGAGGGGACCAAGGTAACACCTCTGCCAACCTCCTCTCCTGATATCGGTCCAGGTAGGTTGGGACGGGTCCAGATGCAGATTGGACGTAAAATGTAAAATGTTCTGCTCCCAGTATAATGCCCAGCTCGGTGTTTTGAACAAGTTCGTAAGCATCCCCATAAGTTGGACTGAAAGGCGTCACACAGACACTGAAGGCGTGGTGCTCTTTCTTCGGGTAATTCACTTTCATGTATTTTGTTGGAGTTTGGATTTTGTCTTGTAGGACGGCTAATCTCGCTGGATGACCTCCCTTGTTGACTTTGCACAGAATGACGGCGGCTGTGTAACTGAAAAGTAAATGAATCACGATAATACGTCGCACAAGTATAAATATACAGAACATAAAATGTGTGTGTTTTCCTTAATACCCATTCATTAATACACTAATGATAGGGGGGGGGGGGGGGGTTCACGGGTGGCCAAGTCGTCTAAGGCGCCGCAATTCGCTGTGCAGAGTTGTTTCCCCTGGGCACGCCTGAAACCTATGATTTTCGGTCACACCCGTGCTCGTAGATTTCACCAAAGTGGTAAAAGACCTGCATCACCTCGGGCCTACCTCCTACACCAAGCTGTCACGCCGTGATATAACTGGAATACTGTTCAAAGCGGCGTTTAAAATCTAACTCAGCTCAACTAATGATAAGAATATTCATACGAAATAAGCAAGGAAGGAAAACTTAATGTTAGGGGTCTAACAACAGGCTTTTCGACATCGGAAACACGCCGCTGTGCTGTCCGACCGCCCTCAACGACCCTGTAGCAGTTAAAGTGATGATGATGTATAGATAGATCGTTGGATGTTTTATAATATAGGTCTGTCTGTGTTATGATTCGGGAGAGGGGAATCTGAGTGCATGCTGTAGTTAGATCACAGTTACGTATACTGGTATGTTACAACAGCCTGCATGTTGTGTGAAGCCAGCCAGATAACATCAGATACATGTTGTGTGAAGCCAGCCAGATAACATCAGATACATGTTGTGTGAAGCCAGCCAGATAACATCAGATACATGTTGTGTGAAGCCAGCCAGATAACATTAGATACATGTTGTGTGAAGCCAGCCAGATAACATTAGTTACATGTTGTGTGAAGCCAGCCAGATAACATTAGATACATGGTGTGTGAAGCCAGCCAGATAACATCAGATACATGTTGTGTGAAGCCAGCCAGATAACATCAGATACATGTTGTGTGAAGCCAGCCAGATAACATCAGATACATGTTGTGTGAAGCCAGCCAGATAACATTAGATACATGTTGTGTGAAGCCAGCCAGATAACATTAGTTACATGTTGTGTGAAGCCAGCAAGATAACATCAGATACATGGTGTGTAAAGCCAGCCAGATAACATTAGATACATGTTGTGTGAAGCCAGCCAGATAACATTAGATACATGTTTTGTGAAGCCAGCCAGATAACATTAGATACATGTTGTGTGAAGCCAGCCAGATAACATCAGATACATGTTGTGTGAAGCCACCTAGATAACAACAGATACATGGTGTGTAAAGCCAGCCAGATAACATTAGATACATGTTGTGTAAAGCCAGCCAGATAACAACAGATACATGGTGTGTAAAGCCAGCCAGATAACATCAGATACATGTTGTGTGAAGCCAGCCAGATAACATCAGATACATGTTGTGTGAAGCCAGCCAGATAACATCAGATACATGTTGTGTGAAGCCAGCCAGATAACATCAGATACATGTTGTGTGAAGCCAGCCAGATAACAACAGATACATGGTGTGTGAAGCCAGCCAGATAACAACAGATACATGTTGTGTGAAGCCAGCCAGATAACATCAGATACATGTTGTGTGAAGCCAGCCAGATAACATCAGATACATGTTGTGTGAAGCCAGCCAGATAACATCAGATACATGTTGTGTGAAGCCAGCCAGATAACATTAGATACATGTTGTGTGAAGCCAGCCAGATAACATTAGTTACATGTTGTGTGAAGCCAGCAAGATAACATCAGATACATGGTGTGTAAAGCCAGCCAGATAACATTAGATACATGTTGTGTGAAGCCAGCCAGATAACATTAGATACATGTTTTGTGAAGCCAGCCAGATAACATTAGATACATGTTGTGTGAAGCCAGCCAGATAACATCAGATACATGTTGTGTGAAGCCACCTAGATAACAACAGATACATGGTGTGTAAAGCCAGCCAGATAACATTAGATACATGTTGTGTAAAGCCAGCCAGATAACAACAGATACATGGTGTGTAAAGCCAGCCAGATAACATCAGATACATGTTGTGTGAAGCCAGCCAGATAACATCAGATACATGTTGTGTGAAGCCAGCCAGATAACATCAGATACATGTTGTGTGAAGCCAGCCAGATAACATCAGATACATGTTGTGTGAAGCCAGCCAGATAACAACAGATACATGGTGTGTGAAGCCAGCCAGATAACAACAGATACATGTTGTGTGAAGCCAGCCAGATAACATCAGATACATGTTGTGTGAAGCCAGCCAGATAACATCAGATACATGGTGTGTAAAGCCAGCCAGATAACATCAGATACATGTTGTGTGAAGCCAGCCAGATAACATTAGATACATGTTGTGTGAAGCCAGCCAGATAACATCAGATACATGTTGTGTGAAGCCAGCCAGATAACATTAGATACATGTTTTGTGAAGCCAGCCAGATAACATTAGATACATGTTGTGTGAAGCCAGCCAGATAACATCAGATACATGTTGTGTGAAGCCACCTAGATAACATTAGATACATGGTGTGTAAAGCCAGCCAGATAACATTAGATACATGTTGTGTAAAGCCAGCCAGATAACAACAGATACAAGGTGTGTAAAGCCAGCCAGATAACATCAGATACATGTTGTGTGAAGCCAGCCAGATAACATCAGATACATGTTGTGTGAAGCCACCTAGATAACATTAGATACATGTTGTGTGAAGCCAGCCAGATAACATCAGATACATGTTGTGTGAAGCCAGCCAGATAACATTAGTTACATGTTGTGTGAAGCCAGCCAGATAACATCAGATACATGTTGTGTGAAGCCAGCCAGATAACAACAGATACATGTTGTGTGAAGCCAGCCAGATAACATTAGATACATGTTGTGTGAAGCCAGCCAGATAACATCAGATACATGGTGTGTAAAGCCAGCCAGATAACATTAGATACATGTTGTGTAAAGCCAGCCAGATAACATCAGATACATGGTGTGTGAAGCCAGCCAGATAACATCAGATACATGTTGTGTGAAGCCAGCCAGATAACATTAGATACATGTTGTGTGAAGCCAGCCAGATAACATTAGATACATGTTGTGTGAAGCCAGCCAGATAACATCAGATACATGTTGTGTGAAGCCAGCCAGATAACATTAGATACATGTTGTGTAAAGCCAGCCAGATAACATCAGATACATGGTGTGTGAAGCCAGCCAGATAACAACAGATACATGTTGTGTAAAGCCAGCCAGATAACATCAGATACATGTTGTGTGAAGCCACCTAGATAACATTAGATACATGTTGTGTGAAGCCAGCCAGATAACATTAGATACATGTTGTGTAAAGCCAGCCAGATAACATTAGATACATGTTGTGTGAAGCCAGCCAGATAACATCAGATACATGTTGTGTGAAGCCAGCCAGATAACATCAGATACATGTTGTGTGAAGCCAGCCAGATAACATCAGATACATGTTGTGTAAAGCCAGCCAGATAACATTAGATACATGTTGTGTGAAGCCAGCCAGATAACATCAGATACATGTTGTGTGAAGCCAGCCAGATAACATCAGATACATGTTGTGTGAAGCCACCTAGATAACATTAGATACATGTTGTGTGAAGCCAGCCAGATAACATCAGATACATGTTGTGTGAAGCCAGCCAGATAACATTAGATACATGTTGTGTGAAGCCAGCCAGATAACATCAGATACATGTTGTGTGAAGCCAGCCAGATAACATCAGATACATGTTGTGTGAAGCCAGCCAGATAACAACAGATACATGTTGTGTAAAGCCAGCCAGATAACATCAGATACATGTTGTGTGAAGCCAGCCAGATAACATCAGATACATGTTGTGTGAAGCCAGCCAGATAACATTAGATACATGTTGTGCTCCATTAATACGAGCAGAAGAGAACTACTGTAAATGCTGAAATTAATGCGCCGCTGAAAAATGCGGACGGTCCATGCTCGTAATAATTAAACTTCGCATGTACGTCTCACAATTGACTGTTGACAAGAGTCCTCAGTGTGTTGATGACCCGCCGAAATACATAGTTGTTTGTTTAATTGTTGTTTAACGTCGAACTCGGTTACAGGATCCGGAATCAGGCGACGGTAAGAATCCCTTTCTCTTTGTTTTTTTTAGTTGTTTAACGCAGCACCCAGCAATATGCCAGCTTTTTGACGCGGTCTATAACTAATACGATACTTACTATACTAATACTAATATTATAATTGGGATACGATGACATACATCAACCAAGTAAGCGAGCCTGACCACCCGGTCCCCTTAATCGCCTCTTGCGACACGTACAGGTTGCCGAAGAGGAATTCTAAGCCGGGTCTTCACAGGTAGTAGAACGTTGGTCAGGTTATCAATCACTGGTTTGCCTGGCACGTAATCGATTATTTACAGGTCGCCGTCATGTATTGCGCTATTCCTGTGACATGAAACAACAATCACACATCCACACAGTTCAAAAATACCTTTTTCCATGGTGATCTTTCATTTTGACTTCAATTCCTTCCTCAATAGACAAGAGTGTCTGTCCTTTGCTCTCGAATCTACAAAATAGCGACACAGAATGGAATGTTGGTGTCAGGGCGACGACCCTGACAACAGAGTCGCTGGCGTCGTAGTGGGCGGAGAATGCATACACGTCGTTGTTGTCGTCGTCGTCGTCCAAGTTAACGTCGGCTTGGAACCAGTCGCTGTCATACTCAAATGTTCCTGACAATGCGTAATCGTCACCGTGTATGTCATTCCGGGGATAAACTTCTACATCTTCCCGCTTGTCTTCTTCTGCCTCTTCATTCTTCACATCTGTTTCTACATCAGCCTCAGTTTCGGGGATATTCTCCTCTATCCTTTCCTTCAGCGCAACTATTACAGGAGCGTTATCCTCAGGAAGTCCTTCTAGTGCTTCATCGTCAAACTCGATTGGTTCTACTTGTGGAACTCTAAGTTTCTGTCGGAAAGATTTTACGTCTGCTCCCTTCCCAACAGCTTGTTTATGTTTCACTTCGAGTTCGTGTCCTTTCTCTATCGCTATTCTTGGATTATGTCCCCTGTCACTTTTAGGAGGTCCCTGAACTTCGGATTTTACGTCTGCTCTCTTCCCAGCAGCTTGTTTATGTTTCACTTCGAGTTCGTGTCCTTTCTCTATCGCTATTCTTGGATTATGTCCCCTGTCACTTTCAGGAGGTCCCCGAACTTCGGATTTTACGTCTGCTCTCTTCCCAGCAGCTGATTTAGGGCTCACCTTCCTGTCACGTGCTCCTTGTCGTTTATCTGGATCGTCTTCTCTCGTCTTCTTTTGCGCTCTCTTAACTTCTGATTTCACGTCTAGTGCCCTGTTCTCGATGGCCTCAAACGAGAACGAGGCTGAGTTCAATTTATCAGACAGGATTGTACCCTGGATGGCGTCATAGTCTATACTGCCCCGTGCTCTAGTCTGGAAGTACAAAAGAGCTGGGCCTGTGAGATTCAGAACCACGACCAGAAACAGAAATCCCCCGAACATCCACTGTTTTCTTTCTCGTCTACTCATCAACATATTTATACGAAACGCCGACCGTGTTTTCACATATCTAAATACGCACTCTGTGTTGCATCCTTGCTCTTACTGGTTACAGCATCCAAGCTGACATTGCACAGTGATGTTTTAATCCAGAGCAGGAAATAAGACGAGTCCCGCCTGTACCTGTTGACGCGTTACAGTTTATGTGCTTGAGCTCCTAGAGTTGACTGTCAGCCCCCACCCCAAATACACAAAGATTATATTATCCGCCTTTATGTCTGTTATTGAATACAATGAGCTATATCAAACGTCTTAACCGTCACAATTGGCCTTCTCATGCCCAGGTTTATACATTGACGTTAACAACAAATACCCCATGCACAGTCCCGTTCGACCTTTGTATTGTACATAGAATAACGTACCCGGTCCCGGTACGATGAGTGTGTGAATAGATGTTGAGTATAAATAGAAACGTATATAAACACGGTATCGTATGCTTCTTCACATGCAGTCACCACACCTGCCTTTAAACTTCCGGCCTACCCGCGGCCAGGGGTATGTTACCCGGGCTTGTAAACGTTTATGTCACCAATCAAGTATTTTTGTAATTTATGCCCTGCTGTATATATATAACGCAAGAGAATAACCAGACTTGATTATCCACCGTAACAGATTCTATTGGGCGTAAAGAGCAAAATAGCAGTGAAATTATATGAATGGGACACTGAAAATCAGCTACGACACCTGGAGTTCGCGGAAAGTGAGTGAGTGAGTTTGGTTTAACGCCGCTTTTAATAGTATTCCAGTTATATCGCGCGTGTCAGCTTAATGCGGGAGGAAAGCCCGAAGTGATGCAGGTCTTAGACGTTTACCACTTCGTTGAAACCCACGAGCACGGATATGGTGCTGTCAAACCTAGAAACATAATCGCGTCGAACCGGGATTCGAACCCACAATCATAGGTTTCTGGGGTGCCCACGGGACGCAACTCTGCACAGTGAATCACGGCGCCTTAGACGACTGGGCTGACCGTGCCCCCCGTTCGCGGATAGGGTGGGGCATACCGGTTGCACGTAGACTAACGTTACGTCTATGAAAATAGAGAGAGAGAGAGAGAGAGAGAAAATATTTGATTAATAAGGAAATGCTGTCTGTAGATATGTATGTTAAAGCTGAATACAAGATTATAGTGGAGTTCATCTATGTTATGCATATAGTCTGTGTTTTCTTTCAGTTCCTATATAATTGCAAATTCGTATGACCTCCATTGAAATAGCACCCATGAAGATCCGGGTAGAGAATAGGTCTTCAGCAACCCATGCAAACCATGCTTGTTGGGTGGTGGTGTAGCCTAGTGGTTAACACGATCGCTAGTCACGCAGAAGACCCTGATTCGATCCCCCACATGGGTACAATGTGTGAAGCCCATTTCTACTGTCCCCCGCCGTGATATTACAGGGTGTTATTAAATGCGGAATGGTGACTTGCTTGGTAATTTTGCGATTTTCGTTTACACTATTTTGACTTGCAACACAAAGCAAATATTTCACCTGAGCATTGCTTTTTTTATTATAGTATGTATATATTTTTTACTGTCAAAATGTGTAACATTTTCAAATTTATTAAACGCCTAAATATTCAGTTATTTTACAAAGTGACTGAAAATCATTTCCATCTGTATCATAATGATAACGAATTCAAAACATTTTGACGTTTCATGTCATCACCAAGAGACTGAATATGTTACGTTGAAATGTTGTTTGGCTTCTAATCCTACATAGTAATCTGTTGTGAGGTTTTAGGCCCTTTTGATCGTCTTAATCAATTTTAGTCAATCTGGACAGATTTTTCAGCCAAAATGACTGAAATATTTACACATTTTATATACTGCCTGAGAGAATCACGTTTTACAAATTGACAGTAATATATACACGTTTACAAAGGAAAAGACGTGTGAAAACAACGTTTATCACGCATTGAAGAATTTCCCAACCAAGACGTAGAGGAACAAGAATGAATCGGTTCAATGCTACGGCAAATGAAGGAAAACAAAAATTAATGCAAATACCAAAATTACAATCTACCAAATTTATGTGTATAAATTTTAGGCAGCTTCCTTGTTCGAGGAATGTTTCCGTGAATATCTACACAAAGGAACAATATCCCACTCGTCTGCAGCTGTACAAAGAAACTTATTCGATGTCACGTGTCTCTGTAACAATCAAATATTTTAAAAGATATATACTGAGTCAAATTAAAAACATTCTTAAAAGTAATCCCATATATAATATACAATGGACAACTGTATCAGAGAAGGTAATTTTTAATCATTAATGTCCAAAGAAGGATTTTAATTAACTGTGGTAACCATGATTTGTTCCAAGCAGCTACGGTATTCGGTAATAACATCAACAGTTTAAATCATAAGTCCCAAGCACGATAATCTGATGGCACACAAGGTCAGTAGCGTGTATGGCCACCATGTGCGTTGACAACTGCCACACAACGCCTCCGCATGGACCTTGTGATGCTGGAGAACACATGATTGGGAAGACGACGCCATTGTTGCTGCAAAATGGTGCCAAGATCTTGCAAATTCTGTGGTTGGTTCCGGAGAGTGCGCAGACTTCTGCCAAGAGCATCCCCGACGTGTTCGAATGGATTGAGGTCAGGAGACCTTGACCGCCAGTCCATGACATTGACTCCCGCATTCTGAAGGAAATTCCTTGTCATAATTGCTGGGTGGGGTCTGGCATTGTCGTGTTGGAAGATCAAACCGGGTCCATGTGCTGCCATAAAAGGCAGAAGTTCTGGTGCCAGTACCTGGTCGCGGTAAGCAGCAGCGTTGAAGTTGCCACGGATGACAAGAAGCCTGGAACGTGCATTGCCACAGAAAGCACCCCACACCATGACACTTCCGCCTCGAAATCTGTCAACTTCCTGTACACAACACTGGGCGTAACGTTCATGACGGCGACTCCACACCCGCGCCCTACCATCAACAAATTAAATCGGGATTCATCACTGAAGACGACTTGATTCCAATTCCTCTGAATCCATCGTAAGTGTCGCTGTGCCCACAATTGACGTTGACGTCTGTGAAATTGGGTCAGAATCGGCCCGCAGTATGGCCGTCGTGCTTGAAGGTGAGCAGTTCTCAGACGGTTTCGAACAGTTTGCGCACTCAGTCTACCCCTAAACAGTTCATTTTTGGTTGATGTAGCCGTCAAAAATCGGTTACGGAGGTGACGTAAAACAATCTGACGATCCTCTACATGTGACGTCACACGTGGTCGCCCTGGCCGAGGGCGATCAGCGGTGGTACCCGTTTGCTGTAGACGCGTCTGTAAATCATAAACAGTCCGTCGACTACAACCCATCGTCCTTGCGACTTCAGCTACGGACGTTCCCGTCTGCAACAAGCCGATGGCACGTTCACGTTGCACATTTGAAAGGCGTGGCATGTTTTCTTGTGTTTTTCTGTTTTTGTAAATGACTGCTAACAAGTATGGCTGAAAACACGTGCGGTATTATGGCCACGTGACCAGTTGCACGTGAAAAAACACCTTTGCCACTATGGTGCTGTGCACATGATTCTGATCGATTTACCTGCACAAAAACGGGTGTTATCTGAAGACAATACGTGGCCATTACTGTTTAAATACACAATAAGGGCCCACAATGATAACTGGTCAAAATGTTAAAATTTTAGGATTGCGAAGTTGTTAATTTCGTTCAGTATATATCGTTTCGGGATATTATAACCCGTGTTCGTTTCTCAACTGATCACTTAGATTGTTTCAGGTGTTTCCCATAGGTGTCAAGTATCAAGGGTCGGCTGAGAAAGCCAACGTGACAACTATTTTCATAACGTTCACGGTTCCTAAAAAGTCCATTGAGTGATAGATAACAATGAGCAATCAATCAACGTATTATCATTTAACCTTTTGAACAAAGTATGTTGTTTTTACATCGGCACTTCACGCCATGGTATGAGTGTATTCCCTTTGTTTTAGTAAACCTAGACATGTAAACACTCACTTTTGACATATCCACTGTGCAATATAACAGTGATTATTCAATCAACGTATTTTCTGTTAATCCTTTGATGACTAGGAACGATCTGTTGATTTACAACAAAAAAGTAAATCAACTGATCATTCACCTCTTGCTGGGCTGCCACGTGCATATTACATAACACACATTTCACCTCACTTCAAACCTGGATTTAGATTGAGTGAGTGAGTTGGGTTTAACGCCGCTTTTAACTGTATTCCAGTTATATCGCGGCGTGTCAGCTTCATGTGGGAGGAAAGCCCGAAGTGATGCATGTCTCAGACGTTTACCACTTCGGTGAAACCCACGAGCACGGGTATGGTGCTGACAAACCTAGAAACATAATTGGGGCGAACCGGGATTCGAACCCACAATCATAGGTTTCTGGCGTGCCCAAGGGACGCAACTCTGCACAGCGAATCGCGGCGCCTTAGACGAATGGGCCGACCGTGCCCCCGGATTTAGATTTAATAATAACCCCAGACACAATAAATGCCAAATGGGAACCTTTGTCAGGTAATGTAAGTGGTGCTACCACTAATTGTACCTGTAATAAATTAATTTACTGAGCATCAAGTGAATGACGACAAATACCCAAGTGTAGGGTTATACCAGAAAACGTGGATGGCAACAAGGGAGTAGTAATCGTATTATCGACGCAATCCGAAATCCGAAAATGCTTTCACTGCATGGATACGTTTTTTTTAGTATTAATTTATAACCATCTGGGTTTTTTTTTCCAAATGACGACATCCGATGAGCTCCGCAGTTCTTTTTCTCTGTTTGTTTAGGCTGAAGAAATTAATTTACATGCGCCCTTTGTCGAAATCTTTATAGATCACAGTTAACCAATCAGTGTTCAAAAATGCGTAAAACAGGCTCCAAGTTTATTTAGCTGTCCTTGCAGACGGTAGCCAAGTCTCTGGTCACGCTCAGTTGCGTTGCATATCATCCGGGTACTCACGGGGGGGGGGGGGGGGCAATAACAAAGTCAACAACCAGTCCGGGGAATTGCGTTAGATCAGTGCCCCTTTAAGTAAATGGTTTTTGATCTTTTCATTTTCAAATACCGTTTTTGAATAATTGTTTTTTCTATAATAAAAAATCAACGGTTACTCAATTTTGCGTCTGTTTTGTTTTTGACCAGAAAAAAAGTTAGGTGGCGTTTCTCTTGCCCGTTAATTTATCTCACGGTCAACATCGCGAAAGTAG